ACACACACACACACACACACACACACACACACACACACACACACACAAGCTGGTTCTAATAACCTATTTCAAAGAAGGGGTACAGATTAGGAGAGGGACCGGGTTGTAGGGGAGGAGAGAGAGGAGGAAGCAGGAGCGTCTCCTGTTAGCTGGTTAGCAGCAGGAGTAACAAGGACCATGTGAAGGGAGAGAAAGTGGGGAGGAGAGTTGGGGGTACAAGCATAGAGGGGGGAGACAGTGGGGAGGAGAAAGGGCTACGATGGAAGTTTTGCTTTTATGTCCTACTTTTATATATTTTTCCTCCCCTAATTTCCCATCGCTCTCTCCTTCACCTTCAAAGGTTTATCCCCAAACCAGAGGAAACACTTCTTCATCCTCCCGTCATCGGTCTCTTCATTCTCTTTCTGTCTCACTCTTTCCTTGTCACCTTCACCCTCCCCCCTGTCCCCACCCTCTGTCTTTCCCCCGCTGCTTGTACTGTATATTTGTTTGAACATGAAACTGCGAGGGTGCGGGGAGACCTAAAACCAACACATGGTGCTGGTGTTAAAGCTCAGCGCAGAGGCTTAAGGGCACTGCAAGTTATTTAGATAACAAAAAGAAGAAACTTTCCATTTTGTTTTCTATCCAAGCTCAACATTTTGAACTAGTCCAGTCACACAAGCACACACACCCACACACACACTAGAAGTTAAAGTACTCATGAGGGCTTGTACTCACATGTGCACCTGGATGGATACTTTGCCAAAATATACACAGTTGATAAAAAGTTGGAGTCTGTTTTATGCTTAGCTAAGAAAAAAAAAAGTGCATCTTTTCCCGCATTTTTTGCATTTACATACAGACACATTTATTTCTTGACACCAACTCGCAAAACAGCGCAGCACCGTTTTATTGACTGCCTCTCGTCATGGGGAAAACCCTTGCCTCAGCCTGGTAAAACACACACACACACACACACACACACACACACCCACAGGCACACACCACCACCAGACACTAATAATAACTTTCAACCCAACTAGTGGTGCCAGGATGTTTTGGTTAGTTTGTGTGTGTGTGTGTGTGTGTGTGTGTGTGTGTGTGTGTGTGTGTGTGTGTGTGTGTGCCTGGAAACCTTCTGGTCTGTATTACCACAGGACATGCCAATTCTTTGAATCAGGCTCCTCTGTAGCCTCTCTCTGCTTCCCAAAGCAGAGAGAGAGAGAGAGAGAGAGAGAGAGAGAGAGAGGGAGGGAGATGTGAATGGAGAAAAACATGGTTGAAAAGAGAAGAAAAATGTGCATAAAATAAGACCCACATAACTGTGATTTTATAAACTGCCAGCACATGTGATATTAATTTATTCTAGTTACCAAATTCATATATTTACACAAAGACATTTGTCACACACAGACTGGTAGATTACTTTCCTGTCCTTTCAGTGGCTTTATTTTCTTTGGGTGCCCCTTTTGGATCTGTGTGTGTGTGTGTGTGTGTGTGTGTGTGTGTGTGTGTGCCCGGGTTTCCCTGCTCCTGCTGTAAAGCTGCCAGAAAGCCAGACTCGCCTGGTGATCCCAGCTGTAAACATCCTGGGGGGAAACAGCAGACTGCTGCTTTCAACACACTCGCCAGAAACTCGTCTGCCATACGGTGTATGTGTGTGTGTGTGTGTGTGTGTGTGTCCATGTGTGTGTGTACGTGTGTGCCCGCCTTTTTGCTGTGTATGTGTGCGTGCGTGCACTAAAGTGTCCTTGTGTGCATGTTCTTGGGGCCGTGACATTGTGCCAGGGCTCTAAATGGAAACAGGTTGGTTTGCGGTTTTCATTCCGGCAGACGATGCTCTGTGATGGGACACCGTGTGAATGCTTCTGCCCTCTACTTTGCTTTGTATACTCGAGAGGTAGAAGTAGTTCGTACGCTCGCTGTGGGTTCGCTTTTATCAAAGACAGGTGAGCTGGAAGACAAACTGCGGCACCGACAAAGTGGTAGAAAAACAAAACATAATGGAAAACAAGGCGGGGGGTCGAGCTAAACTTGTAACGTTTCACTTGACGTCACCTACAAACACTAAAGCCACAAACAATTTTTCGGCCTTTTTTGGGGGGAGCTATACAAAGACTCGTTAAAATGGCGAATAGACAATGACAGAGTGGCTTCTCTTTCAACATTTTTGTATGGTGGCTCCCTGCCTCGCCTGCACATTACGTGGTCATTTGAGGTAAAGTTGGTGCAGCGAAGGCAGAGACGTAATTGTACATTTTGGTCAAGAGCTCAGTGCGATGCTGGGGGTTCACTGTGTGTTTTGGTTATCTTTTTGGGTACGTGTTCAGTTCCTCTGTGTGGTTGCACTTTTTTTAGTTTCAGTTCTCAGTTAGTTCTTTCGGTTTGGTAGAAAGATAAACAACATATCGGGAACATCATGCAACTGTCACTTATAGTTGTATGAATAGGATTCTGTATCGTCTAAATAGGATTTCACATTTTGGGGATTAGTATTTGTTTAATTTCTGTGACTTTGTAAGTTGCTTGAGAAAAGAAGAATACAAACAATGTCAAATGGGTATCAAAACATCTTTATTTCAGCTATTTCAAAAATATTTTACAGTTCATCAGATCTTAATCTCGGATCAATGACTATTAAACAACACAACACATACTATATACACTATATATACAGCACAATAAACTGTGACCTCGCGTCTCTGTAAACAGATTCATAAAGAATTCGGGACTTGTGCATCCGTCACTCATAAATCCAGGATATGCGAGGGCCAAGCCTCTGTGGTGAGGCCTTTGGGTGCTTTATTTAGGCCGGGCTTGTCCAGATGGGCGAGGGGTGGTGCTGCCTGTTCCCACAGCTTTAAATGTGCTTGAGTCTGCTGGATGCCCTCTGGATTGCTCTCGCTGTCTTTATTGTCCCGTGCTTCCCCGGCCAGCCTAACCAATGTGCAGACTACTGTACAACCACTACTTCCTGAACAGGTAGTCTGAACACTGGGCAGGCGGGCTGGGCAACTAAACGATGCTGTGGAGAAGGTTTTTCCTGGTGCACACACAGATGAGTTCCCACATTCAGTATGAAGATGCCCGGACACACTCACACACACACACTGAACTATACTCACTGCGATTCAAGTACTCTTGAGTCCAGCTCCTTCTGCTCTCATATTCTGACTGTTACAAAGTGCTGATCAGGCTGATTGTGCGGGCTGGAGGAGAAACAGCATGGGAGGGATGGATGAAGGGGCCGGCAGGGAGGTGAAGGAAGAGGAGGTGGAGGAGTGAGAGAGGTTAGACAGAGGTGATTCCCTCCTGTTGTGAGAAGCAGCATTCCAGACGGAGCCCTGATGTTGAAGTGTAATAAATCCATTGAATTAATCTCAAGTATTATTCAGTGAATTCTGTGTATTGTTTGGATATTATTGGTCAAATCAACCCGAGAATTAATTTGATGCTCAAAAACGCAAAAAAAAACTAAGTGCCATTTACTTGGAAAAGTCCTTTGTAGGTCTGCTTTCTTAAAAACAAAGGATTAAAGCAGACAACAAACAGAGATTTAGAAAGAAGAGCACAAATCTCTTAACACACACACACACACACACACACACACACACACACACACACACAGGGATCATACCTCATGTAGCGCAAATTTGTACAACCTAAACTTGACTGCCCCTCAGGCCAAGACTAAATAAATAAAATCCAG